ATGTGCGCGCGCGCGTGTGTGTGCGCACACACGCACGCGCGCACATACACGCACTTACGCACGCACACGCACACACACACGCACAGTGATGGGGATACAGTCAAACCCAGATATACTGCCTCGTGACCAGACAGACAGACAGACAGACAGACACGGACTTTATAAGCACGTACGCTCGCTTCGCTCCGCCTCGCTCCCCGCCTCCGTCACTAGGTGAGCAGTAGCTTTGCCTCGGTGACAACTAACTACGCTCACAACGCCACGCCACACCGCAAGCAGGCAGAGAGAAGAGTTGTGGCACCATCTGTCAGGCTGCCACTGATGGCTCTGCCCTTGGGATTTTTTTTAATGAGACGACCCCCATCACATCGCGCCCGCATAAAACGTGATATAGGTGCGCACCCCCGCTGTGTGCGTGCGTGCGTGCATGTGCGCGCGTGCGTGCGTGTATGTGCGCGCGTGCGTGCGTGTGTGTGCGCACACACACGCGCGCGCGCACGCACGCACGCACACACACACACACACGTCCGTGTGGTTTTGTCACCGGCAGTATAACTTGACACGGCAGGTGGAGGGAGACGCCGCGTGTATGATATATATAGTATGATGATAGTGTATATATAGTAGTAGCAGCAGCCGGGTGCACGAGGTGTATGATAGCAGCAGGAGGAGGTTCGCGGAGGTGGCGGTGATGCTACACACGCACTTTGTCTGTCGAGTCAGCACTAACGTCAACGCGCTAGCCGTGTACAGTATCAGCGCACGCACGCACGCACGCACGCACGCGCGCACGCACGCACGCACGCACGCACACACGCACACACACACGCACGCACACATGCACACATGCACGCACACATGCAAGTACAGTCGCACAAGCACCCATGCACGCACGCACACGCACGCACGCACGCGCATACATCTGCGTACACACGGACGCACACACGCATACACACGCACACACGAGCATTCATATACAACCGCGTACACACGTAAGCACACGAGTACAGTCGCACACGCACCCGTGCACGCACGTACACGCTCGCGCGCACAGTGGAAGCACACGCACTCCCGGAGCTGCTATCACCTATCCTGCTGTCAAACAGAGTAGACAACCGCGGCAGCGCACACGCTCGCTATATCCTACTGCACGACAGCCACGAGCATCTAGCTATTTATCTATCACGCTCTCTCTCTCTCTCTCTCTCTCGCTCTCTCTCGCGCGCGCGCTCTCTCTCTCTCTAGAGCTCCTCTCTCTCTCTCTCTCTTGTGCGCTCTCCCTCTCTCTCTCTCTCTCGCTCTCTCTCGCGCGCGCGCTCTCTCTCTCTCTAGAGCTCCTCTCTCTCTCTCTCTCTTGTGCGCTCTCCCTCTCTCTCTCTCTCTCGCTCTCTCTCTCTATCTCTCTCTCTCTCTCGCTCTTTCTCTCTCTCTCTCTCGCTCTCTCTCACTTTCTCTCAGACGTGTCATGACCGCGTGGGGACAAATGACCGGATAATTAATCGGTAGCCTTATGGAACCACAGTTGTCGATAGCACATTCGCTGCAACCCCCCCCCCCTCCACAACGATCAAACACACAACACAGGTCGCGCGTCCCCCCACCCCCCACACACAAGTAGTACTAGCAGTAGTAGTAGTCGAAGAAGATATAGTAGTAATAGTACTTAGTAGTAGTATTGGCTACGAGGCCACACGTATCGTACATGCACATTCGTTCCACCTACGTACGCATCGGCGATAAAAACACACCGGGAGCGGAGGAGACATCTGAAAAATACACGACTATATATTATGTACACCATTTCTTCCCTACGGACCGGACCCTCTCTTCCGTTAGGAGAACCCAAAACGCGACCGGCTGCGTCGCGACCACGACAGGAAGGGGTGATGACGTCACACGTCGTGTCGCGAGGGTAGTGTGGCGGGGGGCGGGGGGGAGGCGGTTGGTAGTATGTGGACAGTGGCTCCTGCGCTTTCGCACACTCGCACACACGAGCGCGCGGCAGAAAATGAACAACATGCTGATCGAGGTATTCGTAGACGGATTTCGCTTTGCGAGAGCGCGTCTGGCAGCAGCACGCACCGTTCACCTGCCAGGTGTGCGTTCACTTCTACTGGCACGCACTTATAATAATGGACAAATTTCAGACGTAATTTTAAAGAGTAAAGGTCAGCGCGAATTAGGCTTAGATACAAATATCTTAGATACAAGTTTTTGGGATATTTCTCAAAATCTGGATATTTAGAAAATGTCTTAATATTTAGAAGATAAAACACAATTTTCTGAAATATTAAGGATTTGTAAGAATGAGTGTGTCCTTTTCTGTTAGGAAAAACCATCCAGCGGTGCACTGTTTTTCGCACACATAAATAATATTATGTTTAAAAGACAAATTACGTTGAAATAACTGAGATACTTAGAAAAAAATTGGGGATATTTAGAAAAAAAATTGAGATATTTAGAGATTTTTTTGGAGAATTTCCGTAAAGATATTTAGGCCATTTTTCGAGATATTTGTATCTAAGCATAGAGAGAATGCTGCGCACGATTTGTCGGGCTACACACGCGTACAGCCTCGCTTCATCGTCGTGATGCTCCAACCCGCCGATTACATCTAACGCGTAATTAATTACCGTATGGCGCGGACAACTACCCACCCTCCCTTGACCCTCCTCTCCTCTCCCCTGACCCTCCTCTCCTCTCCCCTGACCCTCCTCTCATCTCCCCTGACCCTCCTCTCCTCTCTCCTGACCCTCCTCTCCTTGACCCTGACCCTCCTCTCCTTGACCCGACGCTCTCCCGGTCTCCATCTCGCGCATACACGTGGCAGCGCACGCGTCACGAACCCGCGCTACACCCGGACCTGAATCACGGATACCGCGATCCCCCGATCGATCGATCGACAGACGAAATTCGGCAGATGACGAATCGGTTCGAGAACGATGACAGCGATAAGGTCACATATTGGAGTCCCTGCGCTTGGCTGAGTCGGGGAGGGGCCGACTTGTAACGCGTTGATCGTAATGCTCGTTGCTAAGGAAACCTGCGCGTCGTAACGTGAAACCATTCCCGACGCTCACGCAGCGTGTTTGCCATCTCGACAATACCATGTACCCCCGCCACCCGTCCACTAAGGATTCCCATCGAAGAAACAATAGATCGTTCGGCATTTTTGCGACTTCTCTCTCGCAGAGAAGAGGAGAGGGGGTGACGGCGGAACAGCGTGGCTGTTCCCAAACATGAAATTTTTGGCAGGCTGCGCGTGTTCCCGCGCAACCCTTTCCTACCGACCTAAGCCAAACAAACATTTGCGAATTTTCGGCGAGTTATTTTAGAGTCGACGCGTGAATTTCGTCGGTTCCCGGAGCGAAAGGGGGGTGTTTTGCGTCGGAGAAAATCGCCGCGCAGGAACCCACTGTTGTTTCTACCAAAATCAGTCCCATCTCAGGATCATCAAAGGAGTCTGGTGACCTTGTTCTTCTACCACATTCTGGCTGGAGTTTGTGGAGGGGGTGGCTTCGCCGCACACTCTGCACGTTTCACGAAGGCAACGGAAACAAGTGAACGGTACACTGATGACACGACGACGGAAACCGTCACAACGAGCAAAACCGCCTCTCTCGCCCAATCCGCGAACGATGCAAATCAACCCGCATCTTGCAAACGTGCCTGTCTGACCTCACTCGACCCCCAATCCCTGCTAGCGATTTATCATTTAGAATCAGAAATCAGAAAAGGCGCCAGTACAGAGAATTAGAAAGGGCCCCGCGATTTCAAACGGTCGGGAGACAATCAACACAACGACGCCGATGAGAACGCCAACACTAGGGGGCGGCGCGATCAACTTCGGGATTTTTATAGGGGAACACTAGCGGACGTGCATGCACACGTACCACACACGCAAGCACGCGCTTGGGAACTACGCACGCACGCACGCGCGCCACGATTCGGGCCGTGCCGGGATGGATGGAGACACACGGAGAGACAGCCAGCATTCACATACCATCTGTCACGTAAGGCAGCGGCACGGGGGTAGCGCCGCCGCCGCCGCCGCCGCCGCCGCACCCGCCCCCAGGCGGAGCCAGGAGACTACCTACGACTAACGGCGGCGGATGTCCGCGTCGCTCGGAATCGCGTCCGCTGCGGCCGACGAATCGCGAAGCTCGGCGCACTGCAGTCGACGAATCCCTTTCCGTCGTCACGCCGCGCGGTGGCGCCACCTGGTATCTGGAGCCGACTCGCTCGTCCACGGGGATCACGAGTCTTCCGACGCGTACACACACACACGGGCGCGCGCTCGCAGAATCGAGCTCGCGACACACGTGGAATAAAAATATAACGTACACCCGCTACGATTTGCTAGCATCTCTCGCTCGCTCGCACGCACGCACGCACGCACGCACGCACGGCGGTGCGCTGTCATGACGCACGGACGTTCTCGTGGCGGTCGCGCTGCGACGGCGCGCGGCAGCGATCCTCCCGTGTCACACACCTCGATGACACGCGGCGACGCCGGCGCGCTCACGGTACGCACAGCAATAGCGGCGCCCTCCCGTGTCTAGGGTACACACTTTGACGGCACGCAGCAACGCCGGCGCCCTCGCGGCGATGCACCGCGGCCACACGGCGGCGCCCTCTCGTGGCGACGCGCTACAACCGCACGCCGGCGCCCTCGTGGCGACGCACTACGACCGCACGGCGGCGCCCTCTTGCGGCGAAGACGGCGGCGCCCTCACGGTATGCAGACGTTCTCGTCGCGGTCGAGTATCTCGAGCATGAGCGGGTGGAAGGTCGCCTCCGAGGACTTGTCTCGCTTCAGGTGCAGCACCTTCTCGGCGCCCTTCACGCTGATGCTGCGAAGGTCGGTGAGCTTCATGAGAAGCTTCGCAAACGTGTGCTGCTCGGCGGGCCGCCGCCGCCGGCAGTAGTGCTTCAGTCCGTCGAGAATCGGCTCCTGCAACGTCTCGACGCGCTCGCTGTCCGTCAGGCCCGTCCGGTCGCCGCTCATCAGGCAGATCGCCGACAGCAGCGCCACCTCCATCGTATCGACGTCCATGAGGCGGAACGAGCGCGCGAACGCGAAGATCGTCTCCGAGAGCGAGCCGAGGCCCGCCTCGTGCAGCTGTTCGTGCGTGAACGTCAGGCCATTCGCGAACTGCATCGAGCTGTCGTCCTGGTATCGCGCCGTCAGCCGCAGGATCATGATCTCCAGGCAGCTGGACTTGAGCAGGCATATCTGGTCGGTCATGTTGATACTGAGAAAGCCGGGCACCTTTTTGGCAAAGTCGACGATCATCGTGATGCCACGCGACGACAGCTCCGTCACCTGTGTGTGCGACGGGACAACGCGGCGGCGCGCGCGTTAGAACAATGACGACGACGACGACGACGACAGGAACGAATCTTAGATTAAAATTTAATATTACCTAAAACATCTTTAAAAAATTGATAACAAATCTTTGAAATTAAAAATTGAGAAGCGAAATGCTCGCGCACGGACACGTATCTACGGGGGTCTTTCATGAGTGACACATGGATCTAGGGCACACATGAAGGCAGACATGAAGGGAACACAGGAGAAGGACACACATGAGAACACACATAAGGGCACACAGGAGAACACACATAAGGACACACATGAGAACACACATGAAAACACACATAAGGACACACATGAGAACAAACGAGAACACACATAAGGACACACATGAGAACACACATCAAAGGTAAACATAAGGGCAAACGTAAGACCATACATCAAGGTTAAATGTCAGAGAAACAGGGATACATCATTGGGGAAATTTGTTAACTTGGTAGTTGGTTCGTTGGAGCCAGTCTGTGCTAATGCTATGACAGTGGTAAGTCTGGGTACATATGATACACATGGGAAACCCATGCAACATACAGGTAGGCCAGCCTTAAAGCCGCACAATGCGCATCCAAACGCTAATTTCTTCAGTACTAGACTAGCAAATACTTCGTGTCATGCATAATCATACTACCTTATGGCAAAATAAACTCTAGTTCCTCCCATTTGACTGCGCGTTCCCAACAAGAAAGAGGTGCGAAATCAGGTAATCAGGCGCCAACGCTAACTTGTTTCAAACAACATAACATCGAAGTGGTGACGTGACGTCACATGTTTTTATCTTTGCTGCGCCCGTATCGCTGTACCGCGGCACCGCTGCACGGTTGCTTGGAGATTGGGGAACTGTCAACAACATCGGAGGTATTTTCAAAATACCTTTTATAAGACAACGCGCAGTGAAATGGGAGGAACTAGAGTTTATTTTGCCATAAGGTAGTATGATTATGCATGACACGAAGTATTTGCTAGTCTAGTACTGAAGAAATTAGCGTTTGGATGCGCATTGTGCGGCTTTAATAACACACTGTTCTAGAATTACCATGCGATAACCCCGGAAGGTTCCTCAAACCACAAACGACTCGGTTATGTCAACCACCCGCACCGAAAAATGTTTCCGACGACGTATAAATTAATCATGTTTACTTCAAGCCTCCCCGCATTGCTCTACAAGCATAGTGATTTGTTTCCGTCTGGGCCCATCTCAGGAACGATTGGTGATACACAATAAACAACTACTGCCTCTAAGTCGGCGTCCCATCATTGCACGCGATATTACGCTTCATTAGTGACTGTCACATTCTTCCTGACGTCCCATTCCCACCTCGTTTTTAAATGGACTACGTCATGAATTTTCTATGGTGTATATATGTAAAAAAAAATTGCTATTTTTTAACATGAAAAGTAAGTACTAATGGCACTAAATGTATCCTCAATTTCTTACCTGATAAGATTGTTTTTCAACTAGTTAAAAATCCAAAAAATCTTAGCAAAAAATCTTTAAAATTTGATCTTTTGATCACGACATTAAATGCTTGCTATGGGCTATGTATGAGTCACAAGTGTTTGTTCACATCGAACGGAATAGCAAAATAGGAAGTATATAATGCAGAAATTTAACCATAAAAAGTGAACAGAATCACTTACACTTTGTGAAAAAGTGGACATAATTTTTTTACTTTTTATATTTATGGTGACATAATCACTTTAATAGCAACTAATGTCCCAACACATTTAGGGCGGCATTCGTACTGTGATTCTCTCGTCCTACACCAGATTCTGTGTAAACCCATCACGCTCAAGGATACCCCCGTGCCTTACACTCTACCCTGGTCACATCACCATTTCCCCTTCTCTAAAACTCATACGTTCTACCTCTACCAAGGGTTAATACGTAAGGAAATCACTGTGTCTAGAGAGTGAGGAAGGAGCGAGTGACCAGGTGATTGATTTCATGAGTGTATGCGTGAGTGAGCAAATGTGTGAGTGATTGAGTGACTGATTAAGTGAGTGAGCGAATGCGTGGGCAAGTGACCGACCGAGTGAGTGAGTGAGTGAGTGAGTGAGCGAGTGCACAAGCGAATGAATGAATGGATGAGTGAGCGAACGTGTGAGCAAGTGATCGACTGCCCGAGTGAGAGTGAGATAGAGCTAGAGAGCGAGGAACAAATGGTCACCCCGCAGCGTTTACCTTCTCCCATATGACCATCTGTACGTCGCCGCCGAGTGCCGCCTCCATGCGGGGACTCGAGTCTGTCGTCGCCGACTGATACAGCTCCTCCTTCATCCCCGGCATCGTGAACGTGTCGTTCTGAGCATCACAAATTTGGTTAATGAGCTGCTCCACCTCCGGCGACATCTCGAGCGGCCGCCGCTGCGCCGTCCCCGCCGCCGCCGCCGCCGTCCCTGCCGTCGCCGCCGTTGTCAGCTGCTGCTGTTGCTGCTGCTGCTGCTGCTCCTCCTGCTGCTGCTTCTTGCGCCGCTTGTTCTTCTCCTGCCTCAGCGCCTCCTTCGACATGCCCTGAGCGAAGCACTTCTGCAGGCGGCAGTACTGGCAGCGGTTTCGCGTCACCTTGTTGATGACGCAGTTCTTCTCGCGGTGGCACATATACTGCATGTTCTTCTGGACGCTGCGCCGAAAGAAGCCCTTGCATCCCTCGCACGCGCTCACGCCGTAATGGTACCCCGACGACTTATCGTTGCAGACGACGCACGGCTTGTAGACGCGCGGCAGCGGCGGCGGGGACCCCGGCGGACTCAGCTCCGAGCGCATCTCACCGTAGGCGGTGCTGTTGTCGGCGGGCGACGGCAGGCTGTTGAATCCACCCGTCGCAGAGCTGCCTGACGACGACGGGCCGCCGTTTCGGTCGTAGATGTCGAATTCCTGCTCGGACGTCGGCGACTGGAAGCCGCCGGGGTGCTCAAACTGATGCGAGTGCGCCTCCATCACGTGAAGCTGCGAGGAAGAGAGGAGACACGAGGGGATTAAGGATCGGTCGGTCGCGAAAATCAGACGCTCGACGACGTTCAGTTGCGGGCCTCGCGCTAATTCCGGATCCTTGTTCAATGCACGAAGGAAAGAAATCCTTGTTCCTTGTTATTATTACAATTACGTGAAAAAAAATTCGAATCGCACCGCCTGGCGCGCGAACGCGGTGCGAAAATATATAAGGCTGATCGATATTTAACGCCGAAATACAGTTTTAAAAAAACTGGTGGCGGAATCCGTTTGCATTCTCGAACACGAAGATTTTAAGCCAAACTGTTGTTCTAATCTGGGTCGGCCCCAGACAGACTCAGCTGATGGGTGTGTACGTTTGAATATCTCTGTTTTCTAACAAAACAACATAAAAATAACATTAATAATAGTCGCAAATTCTCCACCAAACAGACCACCGTGACAATGTGGCACAGATACAAATACTCTCTCCTCCTTCTCACTCTCTCGGAAGGCGGTTCATTTCGCAGCACAGACTTGAACGCACAGTGTTGTAGCATACGTTAAGGCCTAAGGCATCGTAGTAACTGTAGTCGTTACTGCAGTTCATCCAAAGTTCATTGTACTACTATCGTGTACTGCCGAGGCCCTAACAGCTGACATAGGCATCGAACCGTGCACTCGGACCAGACAAAAACAAGCACCATGCAGATGAGATAATGATGCACCAATTAACGTGCGAGGGAACGATCCGCGCGGGGAACGCAACGAGACAAAACTCACTTCAAATTTAATAATATTAAACGAAACTCATATGGAATTCTAAAAATACAACAAACACGTTTAGACTAGTACGATCGCGAAAACTCTGCGCGTATTATATTAGATCGAATGGAGTACGGAAACTTTGCGGTCGACTCGAACAAAAAACACGGCGCTGTACCTCCCCTACCGTACCGATGGAGGACTCTCGAGTGCGTTGTACGTTCGACGGATCACAGACGATGGTGATTGCATCGCCATGTCACCGTCATCATCGTCATCGATAGCGAATATTCGCTGTTGCATAGACATCAGACAATGTTATATACGTGGACAGGACTCAGTCCATATCCACGATTTCCACAGAACGGTAAACCCAAACTGGGTCACAAGTCCTGACGGGAGCAACTTGACCAATATGGCGCTGCGCAGATCAACAAATGCTACCGCCATCTGTTGTCGAGACCTCGCATAATGCATTTCGCGTGTCGTGACTAATATGCGCGGCAGATGGCGCTAGGAGACGTAAAATTGTAATTTCCGTCCCGCTTTTGCGGGTAGGGGGATTAGGAGGTTGAAATATAGTGCTCTACTATCGTAGTATACTAGGTACCATATTCGCCCCCTGAATTCGTGAACAAATTCGGGCCCCATCGAAATCACAGGTCGCTACCGCACCCCACTGCACACCCCGCCGCGCCACATCGCACCCCACACACCCACCCTGCCCCCACCGCACCCACCCATGTTATGGTAAAGATGGTGAGGTAGAAAGAAATATGCTGCCATTGTGGCTTACACAATCAGGGGCGTGTACAGGATTTGTACCGGGGGGGGGGGTCTAACCGGAACCCAATCTTGGGAGGACGCGAAGGGGGGGTGTGGCCCTCCCCCAGAAACATTTTGAAATTAGATGCGTTTTCTGCGCGAGCAGGGGGGGTCCGGACCCCCTGGACCCCCCCCCCTGTACACGCCCCTGACAATACGTATGTATCGTGTATCATCTTGGCTGGCAGCGGCGAACCAACGATGCAAGCGCCATTCCCATGTACATAACGATAGGCATAGGGAAAAGAGTGTGGCGGGATGCCGTTATGTGTGGTCAAAGTGAAAGTGGTAGATCGGATTTCACCATGGACATCTCTCGCAGCCATGCCTCTGGTGAATTTGAACGCGTAAGATTGGCCAAAGAAAATGACCTTGGCTGACAACGGCGACCAGCGACGCGAGCGCCATTCTCATTGTGCATTTGCACAGTGGAAGGATTGTAGCGGGATGCTGCGGCCAAAGGGACATTTTTAGATCGGATTTTACCACGCATATCTCTCGCAAGCATGTCCTTGCCCATTTTGAGCGTATAAGATTGGTCGGAAATGTGATCTTGGCTGGCAACTGCGACCAGCGACACCAGCGCCGCTCCTGCGTACATTATCATGGAGGAAGGGTCGTGGCGGGACGCTGCGACAAACTGGTTTTTTAGATCGGATTTTACCATGCACGTGTCTCACGAGCACGTCCCTGCCCTTTCTGAGCACATAAGATCGGCCGAAAAATTGTCTTGGCTGGCAACGGCGACCAGCGACGCGAGCGCTATTTCCCCGTATACATTTTAGGTAAAATAGGTAGGCCTACTACCCGAGTGTGCGACTAGATCATAGATGTTCGTTGTTGGAGCAAGAGAAAATCGAAACTTTTTTTTTTTTACGCATTTGGACTTAGCAGTAATAATTTATGATGATTACCAAAAAGTAACATATCATATATGCTGTGTCCACCGGGGTCTAACTAAATCTGTGCATATAGTCGACTCCCTATAAATATATTTGGAAAACGAACGCACTCATACGCCATGCGAATCCTGCTGATACGTGTAGTTTTATGCGGGGAAAAAATAAATTAGAATTCATATATTATTTGTTGGCCTACGATATGTATTGTATGGTCTACGGGTAACATGTAGCCATTCATGTCGTACTGGTTTGTTGTGTTTCATGCGTCGGTCAGATGCGCCGTCTACATGCTGCTAAATATAGACCGCCCAGTACTTACATACAGGCACCTTATCGCACACTCTTACGGCTCTGTCCGCAAAGATATAGTTCCACAGAATTGTAGGCAGAATGGTCATATTTTACCAATATTAAAGTAGACCAATATATTTCGATTATATATATTATTATTTTGAATAACAATAGTTAATATTTGAGCAAACGCAACTCTAACGTGAGGTTTAACTTGAAAACTGTCTGCGGAATGATCGCATCGAAATAAATAGTTCCAAGTATACGCGAACATGTCCGACACTGGTTTCTGTTGTTGTTTTTGGTTTTAGTTTGTGAAAAGTTTTGCAAATGTCGGCCTTAAATAAGAAGTTATTGGATTATCGTGGCAACCATCAATATGTTGGTGGCTGTTAGGATGCATATCCTGCGGAACCTTGCTGCGATTTGCTGTATTTTTACTGTTATACATGGTAAGTAGGAACTTGGAACATCGCTTGACAAATCAGTGCAGAGATCTGAGTGTCACTGTCGCATCTCGTTCACGATTATGCTGTAGAATGTAGTGTATGCTTAGATTTATACGTTTACGTTTGTACCTAGCAGTCAGGGACATGGGCGTGTGAGTAGATATATACAGTGTAACGTTTTGTGACTAGCCTAGTAGACGGTATGGCTGGGGCTTGTAGATCGTATATTTAGTACGTCTTCAATGACTCTGACAATGCACTTGAACGATGTCACATGTAGACTAGGCCTAGTATTTAGACTCTAAGAGGCCCTGTATTATCATCGTTGTGATCATCGACGTCGTCGTCCTAACTCCACATCGAACACCGTCAGTGTATGCCACTCGACACATAAGTCATAACACAAGTTACAACACTAAGTAGCTGTTTGGGTTAGTTCAGTGTTAATCACTGTTATGGAAAATGAGGTCAAGTCTGTGGTTACTGTTAGTGTTATGTCCTGAACGATTGGGTTATGATTATGGCAGAGTGAGGATGATGATGAAGTCTGTACAGCGTTCTAAAATATACCTGAGCTGGGAAGGTATTATACACCCCCATTAATAGGTGTTACTCCGTGTAGCGACCACACTAAATACGTTAAGCCTGCCGCACACGCTGTTGAACTTGCTGCGACATCGATTCGTTGCTGACCCATAACCCTAAAGGTCAAGACATACTGTAGCAACAATGTCTGAATGTAACGTTTGATGACATTTTAAGGATAAAACGACAAAACGAATCGCGCGAATAAGAAACGGATGTCTTCAGTGAGCCGTTGTTACACACGCAAGCGATAACGTCCGGCGACGTCCATAACCAGACAAATTACTTAGAATCGTTTCTAATTTCCAGCGACATAGTCGCACGACACTTCATAATTACCCAAGCACGTGAATAATGTTTTCATCGGCGCGTGACAAACATTTCGAGATGAAATTTAACTGTTCCGCTGTAAGTGGTTTTCAATGGCGTTTGTTGAACGGACCATTTTATGTGTTTAGGGAAATTTGATTTTCTAAGACCAGGGGCATTTATTGCGCCAGGCTGCCCAAATAAAAAAAAACGTTAGGCAATTCTTAACATAGGACTTCAAAGTCAATGGTAAGTACGTGTAACATTCAACAGTCTCCAGTTTACACACTTTAAATGTCTGTCATTGTGTAGCAAGAAAGGAGAGGAACTTTGACCTAACACCAGTCGTTAAGGCTTGCAGTGTGGCTGAGTATAGTCGCTGTGACTTTGTCGTGGTCGTTGTCGCTGCAGTGTGTTTTGGTCTTTACCCTCAACCTTGACCCAGTGCTGACCCCATCGTTACAACCTTAGGGTTAGTAGACCTGACATGTCAGAAAGTCCAGACATTGGCATTATTACTGAGTACTAACTATTCTCATACTCTATATAAATCCAACTAAGTGTGTGGCAGCGGTGAACTGTGCTGTAGTGTTGTAAAATTTTGTGAATTGTCCCATTTCAAAATGAAGGTCTACAGCTAAGTTTGTGGCTTGTAGTCATAATTATTAAAGGGACAGTAGCCTCTAGGATTTTACTGCATACAACTGTACTTACTGTATAACAAATCGTCTATACCCACACGTAATTGTTACCAGATACCTAATTTATTTGTTATAATTATTTACACATCAACGCTACGAAATTTGAACGGCGCCATGAAACCCGCGACCGTGCTGCCACCCCGAAAAAGTTGCGTATTTGACTATTTATTTTGCAGGTTAAAGACCAAGGGTTATATTTATACCTAAATGCTATTTAACCAAACGATATTCATTTTAGGGCAAATTTATCCATATTATAACTGAAACTATATTTCGTTTATAAGATATTACAATTTTTTTGGTTTTAAATGAATAAATAAGAAACACCCTTGGTCTGTAGCCTTTGGCTGGAAAGTGGTTTTGCGCAACTTATCAGATCGTGCGCTTTGAGTGGCGCCACCGTCGTTGTAATCAAACTGTAGTCGTTAGTTTTAAAACATTTTTTAATAATATTTCTAATGGTGATTGAACCATGAAACTTTTTATGTAGCGTAATTATAACCTAAATTAGCTGAAAGTAGCCCTAGAACCTAGAGTAAACTCTCCCTTTAATTAAAATTAGCCACACGAATTAATGTATAGATCTAAACTTACAGTATATCACTGTCGCTCGAATGAAACGGTGAAAATAACCATTCTTTTCTGGTAGCCACTAACATAGGTTTGACTGTATTCTAATTTCTTGTTTGAATTGGGTTGAAGGGGACTATCTGGATATAACCCTGTCTCGTAACACCAATAATCAAGAGAGCATGTAAAATATTAATTTATTCTTCACTATCCACCTTGCAGTTGCAGTAATGTTCAGAAAACTGTAGGCACAAAATGAAGCGACTGTGTCTATGAGAATAGTCATGTGTGTGCATGCATGACCATGCAGTGGAAAAATCGTGGAATAATAAAAGGTGGTTGGCCACCCCAACGTTTACCCATGAATCATGATGTGCAGAAATATCTACGTGTTGCAAATCGATGCACTAGATGTTTTTATTGGTCGTCAAACATTGAATGTATTATATTGCAGGGGTAGAAATAAGGAGAGAAAAAGAGATGGTCCACAGGACCATCTAGTTTGAAATTTAGATGGTCCTCCTAAATTTTAGATGGTGCTCCTAAATTTCAAATTGTTCTCTAAAAGTAATGCGGTGTGCAAGCATAAGAAAGAGATTTTACATGGTGATAAAATGGTTTAATTATTCACCTACGTAACAATCAATGTATCAAACGATACAGTAATTGTTTATTCACTTTAATAGTTATTAGTATATTGGAACGTGGAAACTTCAAAGAAAATTACCCTAAAATGGGACCAAAATATTCAATGGTTTGTCAGATCATTGACTTTGAAAA